GCGCGCTTTGCTTAGCTCTAAACCCGCGTTTTCTTATAGACCTTTCCATCACTTATCGCCCAGGCGAAAAATGTCAAGTCACTGGACTGTTACGCAGGCGCGGCGTACGATTTTTTCGCAAGAGGCGCTATTGCGCGTGCTCGGAAGGCGTTTAACAGTCCAGTAAGAAAAGATGGCAGCTCGCAGAAGGCGTTTGTTGGAAAGGTCTATAACGAGCAGCAAAAACTAACTCAAGCGAGGTAAAAAAAAAAAAAAAAAGAAATTGCCGCTCGCTGCGCGCTCCAACTGCTGAGGTGTTGCGTTCGGTAACCTACCCCGATGGCGCAAGCCGATGAGTTGTGTTCGTTTGTTCTTGGCGAGTTGTGTTGAAGTTCACGCATATACCGAGCAGGGACATTTGAAAGTAGCAAGAGGGGAGGGCTCGTCACATGAAGGATGCAGCTGATGCTTTGAATTTCAACTTAATAGATCTATTTCAGTCATATACCTCAAACTTGAACTTTGCCAAAAATAAACAAAGTATAAAATGATGATAAGCTTTTATTTTAGAACGTAGGAGTAATTGAGGCCGTGGCAGCTAGCGACATAAATGTTGACCTGGAGGGTATACATAGTACGATTCGATGCACTGTGTCTTTGACCGGGACAAAATAAAGCAACACACATTTTAATGAAAAGCACTGCTATGTGGTGCAGTATGCCTTATCTAAACAATCAGCTTGTTTTCATTCCTTTAGCTGAACGTTGAATTGTAGAGCATTTTGCGCTGAGACATGTTTGAAGCGCTGAAAATATTTTCAATTATAAACTTGAACAATAAAATATACATCTATGATAGATCCTCTGAGACGTATATATAAGTAAAAAATAAATAGTAAAGCTTAAAAAAACCTTAGGAGATAACAGCAAACCAATATTTGTTAAAAATCTCGAAGTAGTCAAACTCCTGTACTTAGAAGTGTTGCAGTTCTTACAAAGACAAAATAATGCAACTCGTTTAATGGGGAAACAGGGCGATATAATCTAGAATGGTTAACAAAATTTAAGAAAAATCCAAGATTTTTTTAACTGCATGCTAAGGTTGCTGACTTCTCATTTTCAGCTATATCTAGAGCATTGGATATATGTTTTTTCTTAAGTCAAAGCGAGACATTATATATAGAATACACCCTCGTGTGCAGAACTTCCGAAAAACATTTAAACGATATATCTTAAAAACTCAACGATATAGCAAAGCACGAGCATAAGGTAAAAAAGTCAAAGTACCAATGTTTGTGCATTTTCATGCGCAATATATATTTCAAGTATTGTATAAATCGTTTTATGTATTGTCATTGAAGACTACTATTCGTGCAAATTTTTCAGTTTTATTTTGTTTGATGTTTTCTCTATTAAGTAGCATCAAACTTGGCAGAAATGACAAAACGCCAAAACAAGTTTGCCGCCTTGATGTAGTTTTGAATTATTTAGAAATAAATTTTTTTTGCGCAAAACCTTGTGTGACTTTGTTCCCTCCACACATTGGGGAATAACCACCTACTCTTACAGGCTGATTTACTAATAATAGAAGAATGATGTCAAACACGGCAAATGACAGTTAATGTAAATAAAACGAAACTAGTGTCATTCACCAGATTACAGTCCCCATCACTCTTTTTATATCAACTCAACGACACGATAATTGACCCCTGTACATCTTATAAATACCTCGGCGTTCATTTAACCTGTGATCTATCTTGGGCAACGCACATTAATTTTATTTTATCCAAGGCTAATTCATCATTAGGATATCTTCGGCGCAACCTCAAACTGGCCTCACCTGAAATTAAACAATTATCATACATAACATTTGTTAGATCTCGTCTAGAGTATGCGTCTTCTGTATGGTCCCCGTGGCAGCATTACCTAGTCATGAAATTAGGGGCAATTCAAGACCGAGCTTTAAGGTTCATTTTCTCAGACTACACTCGTTTCACTAGCGTTTCACTAACCACAATCGTTAGAAAAGAGGCGAATTTCATGTTAGGTTAGCAGGAAGGTCGTTAACATATATTAAAAATAGCAAGGGGCCAAGAACACTACCTTGGGAAATTATAATGCAATTAAATTGGGGTACACCGGTCGTGACACGAGAAAGATGTGAACGGAACTCGTGTACAACAGTTTATTGCGTACGATCGGATAGGAATTTTTGTGTCCAAGTGACTACTGAATTATGAATACGCAGTTGGGTTAGTTTTTGTAGCAGACGTTGATGGGGAACTTTATCGAATGCTTTAGAAAAGTCTACGAAAATGTCATCGGTCTGTAATCTCTTGTCAAGGTTTCTGTGAAGCTCATGAATGAAATGTATTAGCTGGGTATCACACGAACATGTCTTACGAAAACCATGCTGATTTTTAAAAAGCAGATCGTAATTTTCCAGATATTTCATGATAGAAGAGAAAATGAAGTGCTCTAGTAATTTACATGAGATGCATGGTGAGAGATATTGGGCGATAGTTCAATACAACATTACGATCCCCACTTTTAAAAATAGGGATGACTCTACCAATTTTCCAATCAGACGGAAGCTTGCCGACATCAAGTGAGTGTTGAAAAATAAGGGTTAAAAATTGGGATGATATGTGCTTTGTGTTTTTCAGCAATTTAGAATTTATTTGGTGATCACCGGAGCTGGCAGAATTTTTGAGATTTATAACGCTTTCACTATACCCAAATGTGTTATTTCGATAATAGGCATAGCAGAATGAGAAATGTGATTTAGGAGAGGAATATTGTCATTGTTTTCTAGTGTAAATACTGAGCTAAACTAGGTATTTATTAGTGAGGCGCTTTCGCTATCAGACGCGGGAGTTCCATTCATATTAGTCAGGTGGATTGATTTATGCTCTTTAGGATGAATGATCTCCCAGAACTTATTAGGCTTATTCTTCAAAATGTTAAGAAGGTAGAAGTTAAAAAATTTGTTCTTGGCCTTTTTCACTTCTCTTTTATATTCCTTAGCAGACGCGTTGTAATTATCCCATGCAATAGTATTGTCTTTTCTTTAGCTTGCTTGAAATGTCGTTTCTTCCGAGCACTTAATTTGGAGATTTTCTTGTTGTACCAAGGCTTTGCATTGATGTTTCAATTCTGATGGTTGAAACGTACGTGTCAGTGAGAGTTGTTACCTTGTTTTTAAAGAGATTCCATTTTTCCTCAGCTGTTCTTTGATAAAAGTTGATATGAAAAGTATCATAAAACTGTTGAAGATTTCTATTAATTGTAGCATAGTCAGCTTTATTGTAGTCTTTAATAAATTTATAATGGCATGATCTGATGACGACGTCAAACTGCAGGTTTAAGTGTATAACTTTGTGGTCACTAATAGCGGGAAGATGAGTGATGTTATTCACATGTGAGGGGTCAGTAGTAAGGCACAGGTCAAGAATGTTGCTAGAGTGATGGCTAACTCTTGTTGGTTTAGTTATCGTTTGGGAGAGGTTAAACGAAAGAGCTAGGTCGATGAACTCATTATCAAACTGATGACCTGATGAAAGGGAGTGCCAATCAATATTCGGAAAGTTGAAGTCGCCAAAGGGGATGACCGACGCATTTGGTTTAAGGGTATTAAAGATGGACGAGAGGGAGTCATTAAGTTCTCTAACGAAACTAGCGTGGTGATCGGGTGCTCTGTAACACACACCAATCAAGATATCGGAACACTGAGAGTGAAGTTGAAGGCATACCATCTCGAGGTTACCTGGAACATTAACTTGTAAATATGATTGGGGATAGCGATTAGGACACCGCCACCCCTCTTTATTAGTCTGTCGCATCTGTGTAAGGTATAATTCAGATTTGGGGGAACACTTCTCAGTCAGCGATTTTGGGTTTCATCCACGTTTCTGTCAGAATGACGAGGTCGGCAGTGCATATTTCAATTAGTGATAATAGGTCGTCGCGGTTTGTTAAAGCACTTCTTTTATTTGTGAAAACGGCCGAATATGACTTGGTGTTTCTGCGTACTCGGGAACACTGGGGTGGGCTTCGGCGTGTACACATCTCCTATGGCTTTTTTTTCTTCATATATACCAGGGGTGGCCAAACCGCTGCTCGCGAGCCGCATGCGGCTCTTTGCTGGTCCAAGTGCGGCTCGCGGATCCCTCATAAGGGTACCCCCCCCCCCCCCCCGGCCGGCCCGCCCGCCCTCCCGCCACTTTCCTTCTTTCTTACCTGGGGAAAGAAGGACATTTTTTCCTCCTTTCACAGGAAAAAAGGAAATGTTTCAGAATAAAAAAAAAAAAAACAGCTAGCTTGCACTTTGGCAGCTTTGTGCCACCATAGGTACAGTCGAACCGCATTTCACTCGTATCTTTCCACAGATCCTGTTCCTTTCATTGTTTGAGAGCGTTTGCTGGACCCTAGGGGGAAATGCATCAGCGACTGGGATTGTCAAACGATGCATGCATTTTGGCTTGGGGTCGAGGAAATGTTCTGTCTCGCGGCCTTTGTTACTTGCCGGTGATACTTGCCCCCTTGAGATATTGCATCTTCGCCCATATCGTTTATTGTTGAGGGTCGCGGAAGCCCGGGTTGACCTCATTCATAGCTTCCACTAGTCACGGGTGTTATGTTCAAGTTCACAAAGGACCGAGAACATTCTCATTATTTTTACCGGTTTACATTTGTGACCCGCAGGCTGCTTTGTTCTACTTTCGGGGAGGGGGAGAAGGGGGTGACTAGCCAGCGGTTAGTGAAGGCGTGTCTAAAACACTTGTATGGAAGGGCGAAACGTTTGTTGTATCAAGGTCGTGCTTCGATTGGAAAAGCAGTCATGTGCATACGGAGGATAAAAAAAGTTCTAAATGACTGTCTGCATTCCATGCGAGGAGGTCATCATTTTTCCAGCTGCCTCTACGGTGTTCTACCTGCTCTGTCGAGACAATAAGTTAACTTTTGCCCACGTCTAACCACCCTTGGCGAAGTTGTGACGAGGCTCTGCGGACGTCGTCGCAATGGCTACCAACAAGAAACGCAAGTACGAAGATGAACATCGGACATTCCTTCTTGAGTGGGAGGAAAATTTCGCCTTCACTGAGAAAAACGGTAAGCCCCTCTGCCTCATCTGCAATGCAGCAATTTCGCACCACAAGGCAAGCAGTGTTAGACGGCATTATGAGACCAATCACAAAACCTTTTCTCGGGACTATCCAGCTTCATCTGATTTGAGAGAAGTCAAACAGGCCCAGCTCAAATCGCGACTTCAGAATCAGCAGTGCTTGATGAAGACCTTCACCAAGGAATCTGACGTAGCAGCCGAAGCAAGCTTTGCAATCGCGTGGAACATTGCTCGTACCAAGTGAGCTTACTCGGAAGGAGAATTTGTGAAGACTAACATCTCCGACGTCGTGGCATTGTTGGATCCAAACAACAAGAATCTTCAAAGGTTGGTGAACCAAGTCCCAGTTTCACGACATTCGGTCGAAAGGCGCATTTCACAGCTAAGCGCCGACGTCGTCGACAAGCTTCAAGAGGGCCTAAACAGCTGCAAAGCATTCAGCTTAGCCCTTGATGAATCTACGGATATACAAGACAAGCCACAGCTTGCAATCTTCGTCCGTTATGTCTCATCCGACGAAAGCGTGAGAGAAGAGCTTCTGGACATGGTTGCCCTCAAGGAAACCACTCGCGGTGTTGACATTAAGAATGCATTGTTAACAACGTTAGAGAGGTTCGACGTTCCTCTACAGAAACTTGTCGCTATTGCCACTGATGGTACGCCTGCTATGCTTGGTAAGAATGTGGGCTTGGTAGGTCTTCTGCGGAGCGATCCCACCATTCCAGATTTTCTCTCATTTCATTGCATTATCCATCGCGAGCACCTGGTGGCGAAGCATTTCAGCTACAAAGACGTTATAAGCACCGTCCTTCGAGTCGTCAACTACATACGATCAAATGCAAAAACCCATCGGCAATTCTGCAACTTCCTCGAAGAACAGGAACTTCATGAAGCGCCCAACGACGTTTCGTTTTTTTGTGCGGTACGCTGGCAGTCACTGAGCAACGTACTATCAAGGTTTGTGGATCTCCTTAAGCCAATTCAAGCTTTTCTGGAGGCGAAAGAGAAGCCATGTCCTGAACTTCATGACGCAGGTTGGTGTGTTGATCTCGGTTACCTCACTGACGTAGTTCAGCACCTTAAAACTCTAGACATGTCGCTGCAAGGGAAAGAAAAAATAGTATCGGAATTCGCCCAAACAGTCTTCAGCTTCCAAAACAAGCTAAAACTTTTTCAAAACGACCTGAAAACAAAGCGCCTGATCCACTTCCCGCAGCTGAAGAGCATGCTGGATGCAGAACCCGAGTTTGAGCTGACCGATGCTAAGCTCAGGGAATATTTCGTAAAGCTCGAGGAACTCGAGAGGGACTTTCATTCCCGGTTCAAAGATATGCACCAACTCAAGCCCTGTTTTGCCCTTCTGATGAATCCTTTTATGGTTGATGTGTTGAGTGTCGACTGTCCAGCCATGAAAAACTTGGCAGGAGATGTAGGAGCGTTGGAACTGGAACTGCTTGAACTACAAGAAGACGAAGGGCTGAAGACGTTCCTGCAGTCTCAGAAAATTGCAGTATTCTGGGGGCAGGTGCTAGAAGCAAGGTATCCCCACGTCAAGCTCGCGGGCCAGAAACTCCTCTCCATATTTGGATCAACATACTGCTGCGAGGCTGTGTTCTCAACAATGAAAGCGGTGAAGTCAAAACAGCGCGCGACTCTTACGGATGACCACCTGACTGAGCTGCTCCGGAGCGCAACGACGTCGTTCGAGCCGAACTTCAAGCGGCTTGTTTTACGAATGGGGAAGCCCAACACAGATACACAATGAGCAACCGCTTCATTAGTGTAATTCACTGTGACCGCAGCCGAGATGAATGAAATAAACAAAGCTGCCACGCTCTTCACTGAACTGTTTCTATTTTTTGGTTCATTGTGTATGTTTCTTGGGGAAGGGGGGGGGGGGGCCAGCTCTTGCCTACAGGCCCTAAACAAACATATGCCCCCCCCCCCCCCCCGCGGCTCTTAGAAGTTTGGTGGTTTTGTTTGCGGCTCCCAGGCCGGGTCAGCCTGGCCACCCCTGATATATACTGTTTTTTTGCAGAGTCGAAGCAAAATGTTTTGTTATCAATGATTAATCTGTTCGAGCGCAGCTTGTACTGCTTTCCTTGTTGTTTCGCAAACTCAATCAGTTTTCGCCGTGCCTCGCTTACTGCAGGGTCGCTAAACTCGTGAAAGTCAAAGATGGGGCCGAAGTTCTCGGAGCGCACCAATTGGCCTATCACGATGATGACTTCGCGCTTTTTTCGCCAACGTCCAATTGGCGCGCTCCGCGAACTTTCGGCTGAAACTTTGTGTTTCACGAGTTTAGGGCCCCTGGTGAAAAATCCTCGCTGACGGCAAAACCGGTATTTTTTAGTTTGTAACACGCGCTCAAGATACTATCTTTGTGCTTGGTAGAGGAAAGCTTGACAATGATAGGGCGCGTTTTATTATCGTTAAAGCCACCTAGCCTGTAAGCTCTTTCTACAAAACTAGATTGTAGCGAAAGACCCAGGTTGCGAGAGCACATGTCAAGAACCAGTTTTTCTGATTGGGCCCACGTTTCATTTTGGTTGTCAGCGTGACCATGGAACACAAGATTAGAACGTCGCGTTCTATTCTCCGCGTCTTCAGACCGTGATTCCAAAGTATGAATTTGTTCTGTCATGCTTTTTAAAGATATTTTTGTGCTTTCTGCATCTTTGCGTATCTCGTCCAAACTAGACACGCATGCTTCCACATTCGCTACTCTTTTAGTCAGGGCAGTCACGGCTGATTCAGTACGAGACTGATCTTCTCTCAGTTTCTTTAGTTCGCTTAAAACTTCATTTTTCCCTTCTTTAAGATTTCGTACAATGGCCAGGACAGATTCTAATTGGGCTTCCTGAGCCTTAGTCATTCCAGGGTTAGTCTCTACATCACCGGATAATAAGAGAAGTAATTGGTTACAACAGCCACCGGCGTAAGTGATGCTATCAATGATGAACAGATACCAATGGGTCGGGCACGACACCGCTATTAACAAGAGGTCATCGTTTTTGTAACAATCAAGATGAATTACACCAACCTTAACGAGAGCGAGCGGTAAGACTTCCATTCCTAGAGCGGTGACGTGCCCGAAGTGCCGGTCCCGAGCTTGTTGTTTAAGTAGTCGCGGGCTTGTTGTAGTAGGGCAGTGTTGCCAGCCAAGGTCTGCGCTGAGTTCCGTGATTGGCGGGAAAGGCGTTCCGATGGTTTCAAGTTGAAAAAATGGCAGGGCTGTTCTGTTGTCGATCATCCAGCCAAGCCATTGAGGGTCGTTAGTCAGTCCGGTAGCTGTAGCTGGTGCAGGCAGGCAGGAGAATCAGACAGGCAGACATGCTTGGAGGAGCACCTGAACGAGAGCGAGCGGTAAGACTTCCATTCCTAGAGCGGTGACGTGCCCCGGAGAACTTTGGTGAATAAAACACACATCTATATATATTTATGTATGTTGTTGTTTTTGTGTGTATGGGGGGGGGGGGGGGGTGACGTGACTAAAAGGCAAGTATTGAACGCCAAGGTCTGAGGTAAACATGTAAGGAAATTACTTTACTGTCGATCCCCTAGCGAAAAAAAATAATTTGTATCAGAAATTTCTTGTGTCCAATAAACACATATGAATCATACAAGATATATAAGAACATATAAGAACAATATAAGAACTATATAAGAATTATATCAGATATATAAGAACCATATAGGAAAGGTATAAGAAACTTCTCACAAGTTTCTTATATGGCGCTTGGATGTTCTTATTAATCTTATATAGTTTTGATATAGTTCTCGTATAGTTCTTATATGGTTCTTATATGTTCTTATATATCTTGTGTGATTCATATGTGTTTATTGGACACAGAACTTTCTCATACAAATGAGAATTTTCAATAGGGTCTCTCAACTATATCATTTCTCCGTTACAAAATTACCGAAAAACTTAAGAATCTACATATCATTTTTGTTCTAAATGAAACAGCTTGCGTACAAGTCAGATTCTGGCGTACGCACCAGTTACCGCTAAGTATATGTAGGCAAAGCATACTAGTTTAATGCAGTATAATCCGGGTTTTAAGCACTTCGTTCTTCTTTTCTGTCTCACTTTTGTTCTTTTTTCTGTTATGCGTTACCTTTATACAGCATAAATCACCAATTCGTCCAAGCCTCTGTTTAACAAGTTTGCTGTCCCGCAGTTTTTCCGTGTTTTTGTATTTTTTGGCATTTTCATATTTTTAAATGAATAATTTTGACCAAGGTTACTATGGCCGAAAAAGATGAAGTTTAGGTCTAACATGGTTTCGAACTTATTGAAGCGCTCAAATCTCAAACAAAAACTGAATTTTGGCCTGAAGTGCTCTGCAACCTGGCTGCTTTATATCAACGACGAAGACAGTTAGATTTTATGGTTGCATACAAAATTATGGGTGTTTCGGTGGATTTTACGGTTTTATTGATTCGCGCGGAGAACTTAATTCCTCATATCGAACCCCCTACATATCAACCGTACTTGAGGCCAGGCCACCTTGCTTCCTTTTCTTTATCACTTGGACTAGGATGAAAGCGGATTTCCCAACTCTTCTGTTAATTTCTTTGTTCCTTATCCGCGCAAGACATCTAGATTGTCGTCAATACTTGCTTACTGATACACAAAATTCACGTGAGCTCTGAGAGCCATCAAACTTACTTTAGAAGTTTTTGTTGAACACCGCGCATGCGCCAAGAAAAAATGAGAGATTCATGGATATAAGATTACGATAACAATCCCTCATTCTTGATAAGCTCGCTTCCACATTTGCATTAAGTGCATTATTATCGAGATAAATAATTTTTTTCTAATTAAAGCTTTTCCTTTCAACTTCACAGCATTTTTTTCTTAGTTAAGCCACACTGGTTCCCTATAAAATTATTCAGGTTAAAACAAATGAAAAAAGTATACCGAAAAAATATTATTTTTTTCGATGCGCCCTGATTATTTAAAAAGCGCACTGATTTTTGCAATATGAGAAAGCTAAACTGTAGAACTGACGCTCTCCGAAAACTTATTTTTACATATATTTGCTGAAGCGAGTTAATTACCCAGTTTTCTGGTTTTAACGCTTTTAAAATTTACTCTTAAGTTTGTGTGTCCAAGTAATGTGATGCATGCTTCCTTGCGTTCAGGAGTCAAATACCCTTCGGTAATATCTGGTGGCTGAGTTGATGAATCGTAAAGATGGGTACGTCTACAGATATTATTGAGGCATGGTTGCCCTACATAGGACTGAAAATAAACCTTTCATGAGGCCAACGTATGCCTACAAACTAGAGAGGAAAGCAACACGTATATTGCGCCAGCGACGGAATTGCGTCTGATTTGAAGCAGCCCGTTGCCACTACTTTGATATTCGAGTTAATTATGGGTAACTGAGGAAGATCTAATTATTGAAAAACAACAAGCATATATAACCAATGCCGATGTCGTTAAAAATATGTCTGCGTCAATTCACGGAAACAAGAAAGCTGGACCAGCTTTTCTAAAAAATAAAGCAAGTCAGCAAGTTTTGTTCGGACTCGTTAGCAAGGTACACTTCCTTGCCAAGAAATTCTTTATTATATGTATTAGAAATAAACTTTAAACTAAATATTAGGTCAATTAGCATCCGGCGATTAGTCGACTCTTCCTTCGGTTTATGTCGTCGCTATTCTATTTTACACCAGCTGCCTCCAACTATCGCAGCTATTCCGACACTTTCTTTTTTTTTAAACCGTGACGTGGGCAAGCTTCTATCTTATCGCCGGCTATGCCGTCACTCCACTTATCAACGGTTTCTACCATGCTCTGTTCAAGCGTCCAAAGCAGTTTGCTCACCAAAGTCTAATCGGCTTTCATAAAGTGAGCAGACGTTTCGTGGGCACGGTAAAAGCAACAAGTATCGTCATGAGCCTCCCGAGTGAATACAGGAAGCTCGTTTGCGTCAAGGTAACTTCCAACTTCAGAGAAGCAGTTTCTGTCGTCACAGAACAGACGCCTAAACTGGGGTGCGGCGAGGTTTTGCTGAAGACCAAGTACGCCGGTATCAACGCTTCGGACGTGAACGTCACCGCGGCAAGGTACGGTGCAGCGACACCGCCTTTTAACGTCGGCGTCGAGTCCGTGGCCGAAGTGGTTGCCGTCGGTGAGGACGTCAAACATCTCACCGTCGGCAGTGCGGTGGCTACAATCAACATGCCCGGTTTTGGTGCTTTCTCCGAGTATCAACTTATCCTGGCGTCGAAGGTGTTTCCGATTCCGAAAGCAGTGCCTGAAGTTATACCGCTTCTAATAAGTGGACTGACTGCTGCGATAGGCTTGGACGAGCAAGCTAGGATAAAAGAAGGCGAAACCGTCTTAATAACCGCAGCCGCCGGAGGGTTGGGCCACATCGCCGTGCAGTGGGCAAAGGCTGCGAAGTGCCACGTCATCGGCACATGTTCCTCGCCAGAGAAGGAGGCGTACCTCAAGAGCATCGGTTGTGACAAGGTAATAAACTACAAGACACATGACCTAGGCGAGGAAATAGAAAAGTTCGACCCGAACGGTGTGGACGTCATCTGGGAGACCATCGGTGGCAAGACGTTCGAAGACCTCCTGGATTATCTGAGCGACAAGGGAAGACTTGTGGTAGTGGGAGCCATTTCAGGGTACCAGGGTTGCGACAAGGCTGTTCCTGATGTAAACCTCAAGGACTTGCCTTCTAAGCTGCTGCTGCGTTCGGCCAGTGTGAGCGGATTTTTTCTCCCGCAATACTCTCATCTGTTTCCAGAATATCTGGCAAAGCTCCAAAAGATGGTGCAGGATGGCACGATCTCTCCTAAGTTGGACTTCGGGCTCAACGCAAATGGAGGCGAGCTGAAGGGGCTTGACGGCTGCGTTCGGGGCGTCGAGTACCTCCACTCCGGAAAGAGCGTCGGCAAGGTTGTCGTGAAGTTGGACGAATCCTTGTAGACGTTGTAACCTGTTGCATCATAAACACTTTCACTTTACAGGTTGTGGTGATGTAACACTGTACCCATGCATCTTTTTTTATTACGCGTTCGTAAAGATTGTGTTGTGTGAAATAACAAGCAATGCCGAAATTAGTAATAGTAAAATATTATTGGGACAAATTTCTTGAGTGATTACTTATCTGCTGCATGCTGCAATTCATATATGTTTTGTAATTTTTCGTCATCGAATCACTCAGTCTATAGCGGCCATGAAGTTAGTGATCTACCACTCTTAAATAAGGACAAAGTATTGGTAAACCTAAAGTTTATACTGCAGAAGGTATTAATTTCTTGAAATTTCTTCAGCATTGGACATCATTTATGTATTAACAGTTAGGTGCTATATCGTTCGCTTCAAATTGTACGAGCACTACTTATATACACACCCGCACAAGCACACACGCGATGGCCAGACTCACGGGCTCATATATGTCAATCGTATAAGATATTCATCATTACATGAGGCAGAATAAATCCGTATTAGAGTGTTTTTTTTATTTGGGACAGGCAAGGTTAGACATTCCTAGACGCTATTGTCGCTGTTGAACCACTTGAGAGCGCGGTTGTTTTTATTGTTCTCTTGTTTATTTATTTTTATTAAATACCCTCAAGCCCACGAGAGACATTGAAGAAGAAAATTTCTTAAAGGTATATGAAACACAAATATTGTAAGAAAGAAAGTTATAAGCTCGTTTTCAGATGCTGATATTGTGACAAATTTTTCAAGACAGTTTTAAAAGCGGCGCCATCAGAGAAAGTGACCAAAGACGCTGCAAGGACGTTTTTGTGAAAGCATGATTTGGGGTATGTATAAACTTCGGTATATTGTAGTTTTACTCACCTTTCTTGTGTTGGTGATTGAGACGTGATGGTATGTAAAAGGGAGCTGTTTTTACATTTTAAAGGCAATGTATTGTTAGGACAGATATTGTGAAGCAAACCGGTATAAGAAAGTTTTCTACGTAAAGCACGGTTGGGCAGATTAAAACAAAAAGTTTTATAAATGTTCCGCTGTCACTGCATTTATAGTTAGTAAGCATGAAGCGAACCGACATGTTTTAAATTGCTTGGACTGCATATGTTAATATGGCAGTGCCGATGTCTCAATTCGAAGAGGCTGGTCTTAGTTTGGAGCGAACGAGAGGGACCAAAAATTGAGTTTTATGAATCCTAAATAATGATTGGCATATACTTGCTACGTATTCAATATACATTTCCTATACAAATCAGAATGAAAGAAGAATTCCCAGGGTTTGCAGGATGATGGATTTTGTAAAAAAGTGGTTTAGTTACTTGAAAACATTATGAACCTACAAAAAAAAAACTTTCTCAATTAACATTTGCCAGTGTCAAGCTCCACATTTATAGGTCATAGCATTCAAGCTCTTGGTTAAGATCACATTCAAGAAAAATACCGAAATCATTGGAAACTTCGCGACAAAGTAATCGGCAAATAAATTAAGTATGAAACACAATAGAGTAAGCTGCGTATTTTTAGGGTGGGACGTTTTAATGCAAACAGAATTTTTAAAAAAATGCTAACTGCTCGTTAGATGCCGTCTTCGCTAGTTGTCTCTCGAGCTGGGTGGACTTTAGCTGAGGGAATAATCGGCATGGTTGGTTGACAACTTAACTAAAATCTGTTAATTAACTTTGTTAAATATTGGCTTTACCGGTTTGGTTGCAACTGAAAAATTGACGGCAATTTCTATTGGATTTAACCAATTAATAACATATGGGAAAGTGTATTAGTGTTTGAGATTTTAATATACTACATTTTCACGCTTTATACTATAACTATGCAATTGCTTACAAACAGTGCGCCGAGAGTTCTGCCCACAACAACGCTCGAAATAGTGCTGCAGTCACTCTTCTCGGCGTGATTGTTGGCAGGGCAGACTGCGCGCTTTTTGAGGGCAAATTTTAGATCGGTCTACAAATTGTAACATTTGATTAATACATTTCTAAAAAACTTCTGCAATTTTCAAATTGTGTAAGTGATATGGCCTCCACTTGTAGTTAACATCATTTCTACAACTGCAACGTGACCCGTAATATAAATAACTAAGAAGTAAATTAACAGAGATAAGTTCATTCGCACACTTACCATGACGATTATTCCATTAGCGAGTGTCTGCCGAAATCGAGAAACACCTTCAGAAGAAGACATTCAGTTAGCAGTTTTCATTTATTTTTAAGAATTGTGTTTCCATTAGAATATTACCCTGTATGTGAGAAAAGGAGAGGACCCTACACACTTAAAATTTTAACACCCTTATTGGTGTAAATGGCTTGTCCTATGGGGAGCACCCTTATTCGTGTAACAGAACACCCTAGGAAATGGGTGTAAGTCGTAGCACCTTAAGAAAGGGGTGTGATTCTAGGACACCCTAAAAAGGGGTGTGATATTCTCACACCCTAGAATAAAGGTGTGATTTTTCTAACACCCTTAGTCATGGGTGTGATTGCTAACACCCTAAAAAGGGGTGTGATTAATGTCTAACACCCTAAAAAGGGGTGTTACTTTCTAGCCCCCCCCCCCCGGTAATGTCCACCTCTCAGAAATTCCTGGGGAGAACCCTGCTTGCGACATTTATTCTTTCTAGCACTGGTGACGTAAGCAAAACTCGACAGGCTTGGAAAAACGGAACGACCGGAAGTCACTTGGGACACAAGTGGCAGTTCATGTTTTTAAGCATGCTTGCAAAGTACTTACAAATAAGAGAGCGATCTCATGTAATCCGTGATAGATGCATAATCCGATTCGGGCAGTACTGAACAATTCGCAAACACAATGCCGGGGATGAAGGCGGTCGCTCACATTCAACGGAAGCCTCGCGGTCACCGATGAGCAGCTCTCTGTCGCGATAGATGCACAATCCGATTCGGGCAGCACGAAACACCGCAAACACAATGTCGAGGATGAAGGCGGTCGATCACATTCAACGGAAGTCTCGCGTCCGCCGATGAGCAGCTCTTTGTCGAAACTCGTCCAACAAACACAGCACAATAATTCCATAGACTCCGACGAAATAAATGGCCAATAGATTAAAAAGTTGGCATAGATGTATTCCGGCCGTTCACGACGAAAAACCACGGTCGCGAAATGGAACTCGTGAGGACCTGCTTGCACGAGAAAGAGAACACTGACGGACGCTTTTTGGAAACCGGACTTACGTGGTCCCTACAACTCACCATAAACTGGCAAACGGCGAAGGCTATGACCCCAGTAAGCCATCAGCGCGTCAGAGCGAGTCGCGTGACAAATGTTCGTCCAAGCGTTTTTGTCCTACGGAGAGCGGTCACGTGTTTCACTCCACACCTCCGATTCGCTAGAAGCGGCCTTTCGCACTCGCTCACAGCCACACGGACACAAAAGAAAGTGGGGAGGCTTATCAGAAGAAGAGGTCAAAGGGGGGTGGACAAAGCTCCTAATCTCCCTCTGCTGCCTCCTGGGCTGCACAGGGAGGGTTGCCTTGTATGTGGGACCTTGAAGTTGTTGTTGTTCGAGTGGCGGTTCCCTTTCAAAAAGTGTGGAGCCGAGGAGTGGCTTAGGCTTTCTGGGTAGAACTCGTTGATCGTCGTCTTGTTTATGCGTTTGAATTTCTTCTATCTCTTTCCTTTTTTTCTTTATGTGTTTTATAAGTGTATTTATTGGTTCAGTCAGGTGAGTTTGTGCTACCCAAAAAAGGCGCCACTGTTTGTTCCAAGCTTCAGCGCAGTTAAAAAGAAAATGAATAAAAAGATTAAGCAAAGCAGAATTTGCTCGCTTTTTGCCCGAGAAAGACATCTCGGGCTAAAAACAAGCAAATTCCGTTTTGGCTAATTCTTTTTTATTTTTAACGTCGTATTTTAGGCGGCAAATAAATAGAAATACCTCTCCGGCATAGCCGATTCACGCAGGATACTCTCAACACTCAACTAAAAACGGCGTCGCGTACGTCATGTCAGGATATCGTTGGCGCGACTCATCCCATTCGTTAAATATTGGCTAAACCAAAATGGTGTGGGCACAACCTTTCCAAAAATACATCCAATATCGGCGACATACGGTGTGTTGCCTGGGCTGTATATTTACACGTCTTCGGTCACCTTTTGCGAGCAGAGGTGATTTTTTTAAATCGAAGTTGAACTGATAAAACTGATGCACACGCGACACGTAATTTTCGGCTCCTCTCGGACGAAGAGTTCGATCGGAGTTGCAAAAAACATTCTCACTTCCTAATCATACGCGCCTTTTTGTGGCGATTAATTATATTCGATGTTGGTACCGCCGTACATCAGCAACCGTTTCATCAAAGCAATAAACATGGACGGTTATAAAATCATGGGTGTAATCGACAGTATCAACATTACGCCCGTCTCACACCGCGTGAATGAAAAGTTTGTGGACGTCCGTTAACCACTTGACCGGGGACGGAAGCATAGAGCACTGCTCATCGTCATTTGCGCCGGGTTTTCGGGCAAAAACCGGTAGGAACAAATGGCCTCTCCTCTCGCGTGAAGAAGAACGGCGTCGATGACAATGATATTGACCGAACAGAGGGGAAAGCGGATTTGTGTAAGATTAATGTGACGCGCATTCTTGCACGTTCTCGTTGATGTCCTGACGTTTTGACAGGACGCCGGACCGATGCATCGCTACATAATTCCAAGCAATTTGAGCTACGTCTTGGTATTGCACAAAGTATAAAATCCACCGCTTAAAGCACATATTAGATAAAAATTCGAGCTTGCTAATGCAGGCGACATTTTTTTTCCGACTCATTTCATAGCTAGCTCCTCGCTTTGGGGCACATGCTGCTATACCGCGATGACGATCAATCGATGTCACGATGTCCTTACCGGTTCCTCTCGTAGACAAGGGTTTCTTCGACGTGATTAACTCCGACTCCTTGAAATCATATGTCCATCACACCGTTCCTACACGTTATGAACGGGGGGCGTTGCGACGAGTGCCTACACCCTTCTAACACGATTTCCTGAGCATATTTCAAATTGTGGGTGTGATAGGGGTGTAAGAGGGGTGTATGTAGGGTGTAAGCCTTCTCGTACACCCCTGTTACACCCACCAATACTCAAAATTGTTTAAAAAGGGTGTAGGAAGGGTGTAGGAAGGG